CGCTGCAGCTGGCTGCCATGACTTTTACGGCGGCACAAAAGGGATGGGATGGGGTGTGCATGGCGGGCTTGCTGCTTGTCACCTGGCTAATCGAGATCTACAACGGTCGCGACACAAACCTCGTGCAGGATTGGTTGCGTCAGGAGGGCGTTGTCGTCGAGTTGAAAGAGTTTGAGTTTAGCGGGCGGTTCAACATGCTGGGAACCATCCAGCTCCTCACCAAGACTAAGGTAACTTCGTGGATGGACGACATTTTGGTAACGCACCCGAGAAGGGATGCTTGGTTGAAGCGGCTTATGAATAACGAGAAGCCCGATTCGGCATTCTGGAATCCTAATGATATTGAGCGGATCGAAGTGGGTGCTAGTTTGTGTGCGAAGATGGAGGGTATCATTCAGGGCGAGTTTGCGACGCCAACCCCGGGGGTTTAAGGTAGTGATGGATACAAGTCTGCGTACATGTGTAAGTTGACCGCAGTCAGACAGCCTCGATGTAATCCTGCAGCGCACCAAGCACTGCCTTGTACCCTGGGTCACTCTCACTGCCGAAGCGGCATATGTCCCTGTAGTTTCCGTAGACGCCGAGTCATATATCTCCTTGCGTGCATGGCCAACCAAAGCAGACTCATAAGGCACAACCTACAGCAACGTGTCAGCACAATTGATCCCCACCAGAAGAACAAGGCAGCACAGCAGCAGGCACGTAGGAACAGACGCACCAATCCGTCCATACCATAGACACCAACCATTGACTTGGTCTCAAAAAACGAGTGAATCGCAAAGTGCTCGTCCTCTGTTGAGACACTGTTTTCTGCGTCAGTACTAATGTCAAAATCTGGGGGTGCCTTGGCGCCAAGCCAAGGACCCACGAGCTTGGTGTCAGAAACACTTGCACACTGGAATCTTGTGGAGAAGGGAGTGGTGCTTAAGGGGAGCTAGACGACTGTATCCCTCCTATCTACAGTAATCCCTACACCTAACGTTATCTTTATAACCTTAACACCAACCAGTACACCTTCCTTGACAGGGTTAATGATAGCTATAGCACCAGCTGGTATTACGAAGAGGGCAGGCAGTTGTAAGAGAACACCTTCTGCGTGTGTGAGGGCTAATATAGAGTAGGAAGGAATGTAGGAGGGGAGCGTTTTAGCTAATTAGAGAAGGCCGTTGTTGATTAGTCATTAAGTAATAGTACTGTTGTTTATTTTATTTCTCTGTAGAATTAAAGGAATTACTGTAATTGCGCTTCTTTTTGTTGATTTTGTTGCATTTGGTTGTGTTGCGCCAGCTGGCAGCATTAAGCACACGGAACATCTTCACATGTCACTGCTTCGTCTTCGAGATTATTGTATCGACTGAATTCTGTGCGTTAATGCTATCTGAATTTATTAAGACAGAGGAGTGGGGTCGCAAGTTCCACTGTGTAGCGGAGATATATGTAAACACAGGCCGTGTCATTGTTTGGCTATTATTATCAGCCGTTTATAGTCGCCAATGTCTTTTTAGCAGTTAACAAGGTAGGACAATGAGTGTAAAGTGTAATGTAAATTTAAATGTCGATCGCTAGAGTTAATCATTACTTGTATCTGTATTGCAGTCTCTTTCCCAGGGTTATATTGAGGCACCAGAAACCCTGCTATAACCCAGTCCATCATAGTACTTTATTCCACTCGCTGTTACGGCCTGCTTCCGGCTCCACTGAGGGGTCGGACAAAGACAGATCGTAGTAGCGGACAAAGGCCCAATTGCTACAAGGTTGATGGGGACAAGATGACTGAATGGAGGCTAGCGCAACTCTCACGGGTCAATACACTGTCAAGCAGATCGTAGATCCAGAGGTCCCTGACAAATAGATCTCACTGAGGTTCGGTGCTCAAGAACAATGTAATTGCTAGCGTGAGGAACCAAGAGGTCCCTCACTCCATCGTGGGCACGATGATGGTATCTATACTACTGGGTCCTGATGGTACCTCCGTACCTTGCTCACTCTGTTTACCGTGATCACCTGTGATCAGGGTGAGCAGAGTGAGCACGATCGCGGGCTGTTTACCGTGATCACCCGCGATAAGGGTAAACAGGGTGAGCACGCTCCGTGTGCGTTGCTTACATACACTGGGTTCCATACTGTGCTTCCTGCGGGGCTATGTCGGTCCGACCCGACCCCTCCTGCGACCATGGGTCGTGACACTCGCGTCCCTCATTCATCTTTCCCCTTTAGACGCCACAGCTCATCCCGCACCTTGTAATACTCCTCCCTCATGTGGGCCGGCCCTTCCTCCGTCATCATATCTGGAATCCTTTCCATTATCTGAATCAAAGTCGGAGACGCTCCAGACACCCAGAACTGGACCTTGTCCGGGAAGTACTGTCGTGCAATGAGATAAACCTCTTTTAGATAAGGCATCACGCTGTCGCGCCTGACGAGCTTGGACTCGAAGCGCATGAAGTACTCGTGGTTGTAAGGCAAGAATGGGCCCTCACCGACGGCGAAGTTGATGTAGGCGTTTTTGGTTCCTGGGGTGCCGACGATCTTGATCAGGGGCTCTCCAGTGTTGGGGTGAACGGCCTGTTTATATTTCTGGGTGATTTCCTCGAGGAATGCTTTGTAGACGCCTTGGTCGTCTGGACCGAGCGGGGGGTAGACGTCGAAGCCGCATTCGACACCCATTACTATAGCGAATGAGCCGTGACTCGCTATGAACGAGATAGTTGAAGGTAAGGATAGTTGATTGAGACTGGTTACGCTCAGCGCGGCGTTTTCTCGAGAAAGTCTGTGTAAACGCTAGATGGCAGCATAGTCTTATAGAGCCCCTCCGTCTCCCTTTTCAGGAAAAAAAGGAACACCACCACCCGCTCTGCCAACCCTCGTCATTACCTGGCTGTAGGCCTCATGAGGGGTCTTAGAGATTACTCACAGCAAGATGATTTATTGGTGCCAGCATCGTTGGCTCAGGTTTGCATTTGGGAGTCGCGCCTAGCTGTGGCGAGTCATGTTGGTTTTACCAAGACTTGAGCAAACGGAGGAGCTTAACCTTACGCCCTCATGCAGCGTTCCGCTGCCATTGATTGGCTGGAGATAGTAGATCTGCACTGAGGCCTACGGCGAGGCCTACCGCGGGTGCTGAAGGCTATTGGCCGCGGAGGGCCAGGTGCATGATGGTGGGGACGACCACCTGAAAATTCAGATTGATGACTGGCAATCACAACTGTGCTGCAGTGAGCGGTCAGGTTAGGAGTGCTGATAGGAGTCTCGATAAATTTGTCAACCGCAAGAAGCGCTCTTCGGCCAGCCCAGCCCCTTTTACTCCCGAGCAGGCGATAAAGGGTCAAAATTTCCAGGTGTCTATTAGTGACTTTCAAATCCTGTCTCAGTAGTCTCGCGTCGCTTGCACGCACACATCATGTTTCTTCTTATCACCGCTTGCTCGTCGTCGTATGCGCAGCTGGCCAGCAACGTCCCCCAAAACCCTGGACATCTCAAGTTCGGGAGTTACTAACCACGGAACGGCTAACCTTGTCCGTCTCTCAACGCCAGCCACCGACGGCGAGGTCAAGGTTGCAGAAAAGATAGCGGGTGACAGGCAGAAGCGGGTCCACGCAGCCGGCTAGGACCACTCTCTGGAAACTGCTAAAAGGCGGCAGTGCCCCTAATGGCCCTAATCTTGTTAATCAGATAAGAGTATAAACAGGTGACGTTGCTGTTATCGTCAGCGACTCTATCCGTACCACATCTATCTGTACCGTATCCATCTGTGGCATATGATGCTATTGGTTCTCAGCCTGGTTTATTTTGAGTTTTGGGTAGGTATGGGTTGCTCAGCTTTGACAATGGCTAGGCCGAGTCATACGCACACCCTGTACGAGTGTAGTTCGTAATTGGAATTGTTGCCTGGGAGCTACCCTTACAGATTACGCGTCGTCTGCTTTCATCGAGAGGAAACTTCAGCCGGGGTGACTGAAAAGGGGCCTCTAAGGCTGTGCTGCAGAGACGAATGGGATCACCCTAGCTCAGGGAAGAATCAGGGGAAGCTCAGGACAAATCAGCCACAGCTCACCCCAGCTCAGGATGAGGGACGAAAAAGGGAATTTCGCGTGCCCAGATTCGTCGCAGGAAACCATGCTGTATCCGGAGGCCGAGACATAGACCAGTACCACTACCCAAAGACGTTCGTCGAGTTCTTGGTGGATCTTCCCGCCGGATGATACAGCGCCGAGTAGTAACCCAAGCTGGCAAGCAGTGACAGGATGCAGATTACCAACGAATGCGCTCCAGCAAGGTCGTCAACTCGCAGGGCACGAGAGACGGGTGCAATAGCGTGGAACATTGATCCGAGCCAGACAACCACAACACCATCCAGCGCTAGCTGGGCGACGACAAAACCTAACGAAACCAGCGCCCAAGAGGCAGCCACAGGAACGGCCAGATCAACACTCCTTTCGTTGACCCATGAAACCAGCGAACCTGATACGGCGCTCTTCTCAAGTACTGGACGTGGGAAGCCCGCCGAATAGGCCATGAGGCCGTCCACTGCAACCAGAAACAAAAACCCGAAACCTCGCAGATACTCGAATCCGAAGAAGCCACTGGGTTCCCCGGCAAAATTCCAGCTCCAAAGCGCTTTAATTCCCAGAAGCCCAAGAGTAAAAAGCGAAAGGGCGCCAAGAGGATTTGTGGCAACACCAGATGAGACACCAAGAGACAAGAATGTCCACACAACCAAGAGCGAATGCACCGCCGTGAAAAATACAGGAAATACACCAACAACAATGTTCAGCACGGTTGAGCTCCAAGGCAGGAAAACAGGCAGAATAGATCCTGGATCCGGGGGACTCGTGCGACGCAAACCAAAGGGAGCATCTACATCTCGTTGCTGAGGTGGGGGCTTTACTCGCCGGGCAGTGACTTAAACTCCGAGCGTGACTGCAAAATGACACCTTCAAAACGCCACCAACCCACCAAGACCGCAAAAAAAGATGTTCTATCCGTAAGAGAAGGGAGTATGGGCGTGCCGGGATTCGAACCCGGGTCTTCGCTAAACGCTGGAGAGAAATCAACGCTGAATACGCTTAGGGACGCGCTGACCACTACGCTACACACCCAATTGTGCCCCCTCTTCGTTCTGGTTTTAAACCTGGGGGAACGCCGACCACCACCACGGTACCCACTCTTGGTGGCTTTTCCCACCGCTTTCAACAAGCACCAATGTCGACGCCCAGATCAAGGAATGAACCCCCAGATTGTTAAAACAACCACCAAAACAACACCAAAATCTGCCATGGATACTCGCCCAACACCGCTCTCATCGGGTACCGTCTGTCCCTGGCACGAATACTCCCCCTTGAGAATCCCCGATTTCCGAAGCTCGTTGAGCTGCGAGCAGTTGAATTGATCGGCCCCCAGAGACGACTTGACGACAAACTTCTTCAGTACGTGGGGACGTCGTCCTTCAACGTCATCAGGCTTGAGGTCAATGAATGGTTGGCTAAAGGCTGTCAGCAATGGCAGAAAAGAAGTTCAAGATGCGGAAGATTTGAAGGGGGTAGCGCCTACAAGAAGTGATTGTCAAAGAGTCCATCAAAGACCATGGTCGAGGTATCATTGGAGGGCCAGTAGAAAGTCGGGTTCAGAACCCCTGAACTTCTACCCTTGATACCCGCTGCTGACGTGAGTCGAAGCCGAGGGTTGCCGGCGATGACGATCTCGTTCCAGGGGTAATCAGTGGCAGTGACGTTGAAGAGGAGTGTTTCCAGGTTGGGGTTGTTTTCCACGTAGAGGCTGCTGAGGCTTTCAAAATCGATCGATAGATTGGTGAAGGTGTTGTTGACGGCGTGGAACGCGCCGACCTCAATCCTTCTGACCTTGCCTTTCCCTTCTCGAATTCGTGACAGGGATGACAGACCGGAAAGACGGAGATCGGGGAGCTTATAGGTCAAGTAGCTTGAACCGTCGTACCCGTCATCGAAGCAGTACGTGCAGTTGAACGCCATGGACACATTGCCGCTGCCCGTGAAATCGAGGATATCCGGACTTCGATACGGATACGGAGGCGGCGCTATGGACACCTGCTGGACGTCGGGGACACCACCAATGACGTATTTCGCATCTCTCGTATTCCACACAAAAGACAACATCATGTCCACCGACCGCAGAGGGACATTGTGGACAGTCAACCCGTGTCGAGGGGTTATGTCGTGCCGAAAAGCGCCGGAGAGGTCAGTCAACCGCGGTAGGTTGACAAGCACAAGCTCTCCGCCACGCCAAAAGTAATTATCTGTGTAGAACTCTTCCAACAGCGGAAGATCGTGCAGAACAGTCTTCTCGTAAGCGTAAGTGGAAACGTCGTATCCGAAGCTGTACAGGCTGGAAAGATTCCGCAACGTCACGCCCCTGAATGCATCGCCGTTGCAGCACCATTCCCAGGGGCCGGGATCCATGTAAATCTTCTCCAGGAGTGGCACGTTCTTTGCCAGAATGGTTCCATTGATGTAGTCGTAGGCTGTGATGTTGATCGCGCCGCGTGCGGTTGGGGAGAAAACAACGTCGCCCTGGAAAACCCTTGTCTTGTCCGTTCTTTTGTTCATACATTCAAATAGACTGTCTGCGTCATTTTGGGTGGTGATGACGAACGGGGTTTTGTTACAGTCGATTGCGAGGGCAATGTCTGGTGGAAGCCTTTGTTAGCTCGTCTGCGGCGGGTAAGGTGCCCCTGAATCTTACTTACTTGGCATCAAAGTCGCCAGCACAACGCCGGCGCTGATCACCCGCGCGCTGGAACTTCTCATAGCCCCGTATGTGTTGAAAATGTTCTTTGTTGATCGCAGGAAGAATGGAGTTGGGGAGGGCGCCCGCCGAGAGACAACGCTCTGGCGCGTAGGGCTTGGAAGCGCGGCGCGGCCCCTTGGAGGGAGGGTCGGGAACTTTGGGCATCTAATGAAACTGTCTTGCCGGCAAAACACTCCTCCAGTCCGTGGTGTTACCAACACGATGGTAGATATTAGCCGCGGCCTTGACAATCACCAACACGGGCCAATGATTGGTGATGAAGCGAGGGAACGCAAAATTGGGGAAGTAGTGATTGTTGGCATTATACCCCAATATTTTCGTCTTGGGAAATACGATCGATGGTTTCGTCCCCGTAACCGGTTACAAAGACTCGCCGTCATCGTTCGCCATGATCCAAGACTCGGCGATCGACGCCAGCTCGTCCTCAGCCTCCCCTTCCGCCCACCCGTCAACGGGGACCCACCCCTGAGCCTCCAACTCCAGAAGAATCTCACCCCAAGAGCTGTCATCGCTGTCTGGGACAACCAACGCCGACTCAACCAGTCCCTCCACCATATCAGGCTCCTCATCATCCTTACCCTTGCCCTCGGTGACCTTCCTCCTCAGCGGGATCACTCTCACCGAGTAGATCGGCTCATCATGAACAATCGCTTCATGCGACAGCTCCTCCTTCGAAGCCGCGATCGCCCTCCTCAAATCCTCCATCTCCTTCTCCTCCCTGCTGATGACGGAAACCCCCCTATCGACTCCCAGCTTTCCGCGCCATGCATCCGACGGCAACGCATCCTCCGCCGCCGCCAGCTCCCTCCCGCTCTCCACCGGATCATCCCTCAGCTTCAACAGCACTTCTTTCTCCGGCGTACTCGCCCTCTTACCACTCCCGTTCCCGTCCCCCATCTCCACCCCCTTCTGCCCCCTCTCACCCTCATAAATCCAATTCCCCTCCCTATCCAACCCAACCTTAACACCCCCCTCCCTAACCCTCCTCCCCACCGTTCTCTCCAACCTCTTCCAAGTCCTCACCTTCCTCTTGCTCTCGCGCTCCTGCACATCCCCCCACCCGACCCCATCCCAGAGCCAAGCCCCCTCTTTGATCGCGATCTTGCGCTGCGGGAGCGACGTGTCTTTCCACTGGATGGGCCCTGTCCACCACTTGCCCGTCTGGTGGATGTTGTTGATGCGCTCGGGACGGTAGGACCAGTAGCCGTTGCGGAGGGTCACGCGCACGATGTACCCGGTTTCGGTGGAGGGGGAGGGTGCGTCGTGGCGCATCCAGCGGGGGGTGCGGGGGTTGAGAGGGTTGCCGTAGCGGTCGACGGGGATTTTGGGCATGGTTGTTGTTGTTGGTGTTGCCCGGCTTGGGATGAAAGGATGGTCGGTGACCGAGAGGTTGACTGGTGCAGTGGCTTTGCGGTGGTGGTGCGCCGTGGGTTCAAACGGGCGTCAATAGTCAATTGGTTTGGTGGGAGGGGATTTGTCGTGATGAGGGGCCGGGCGGAAGGTTTTATGCTCGTTGGGAGGAGAATGGGCTGGTGATGCAGCGGTGCAGGGTGAGATCGCGTCAGAGGCGCGGGCCGGGTTGAGTCACTCGCCGGAGGCCGCTTAGAAGAAGAGTCAAGCTCAGCCCCCGTCAGCAATCTGGGGTGCATGACGGGCCCGATTTCTGTCGTTGCTGAACACGAACCACATGCGTTCTTTTGTCTTTCAGTTGGGGAAATTAAGTCATGCAACCCAGTTATGGGATTTAGGTCTAAGCGTGTGGTGGCTGCAACTGTGTTAGGAAAGAGCAGTGCGGTTTATCTTGCAGTTGCAAGGGAAGGTGCGTTCTGTAACTAGGTATTTGGGCCAATTGAATCGTCGCAAGGAGACTCCCAGATGCAGGTGTCAGCAGTTCGATGAAGTGAAGTGCGGGGAATTATACCAGACCTCCAGTTTCCTCAACCTGATCTCCTCTCATTCAGCACCTTTGGAATGCCCAAGATGCACCCTCTTGTAGAGTCGATTCTTGATCGCCCAGGATCGTGGGCTTTCGCCCTCTTTGTCGCCTACACCATTGGTCAACAGATCCGGGCCTACTACCGCCTCCGACACATCAAGGGCTCGTGGCATACCGCCTGGACCGATTTATGGCTCATCCGCAAAACTTGGCGAGGTGAGACGTTCAAGGAACTCCATAGCCTTTGCAACAAGTATGGCCCTGTTTTCCGCATCGCGCCCAACTACATCGTCTGCGGCGATCCCGCCGAGATCCGGACGCTCTGGGCCGCTCGATCCTCCTTTGACAGGGCCATTTGGTACAAGGGCTTCAGATTTGACCCGCCAAATGACACGCTGGTTTCAATGTGCGGTGGTGATGATCGAATCGCCTACCGAGCAAAGTTTGCCCCTGGATATGGCGGTAGGGGCGTCGTTGGCATTCATGAGGCCGTTGATGCTGGCATCATCCGCCTTGCCAGGCTGATTGACGACAAATATATCTCTACCGAGACAGAGTATCGGCCATGTGACTTGGCTCGCAAGGTCCAGTTCATGACGCTCGACATCAGCGGGAAGATCGCCTTTGGCGAGACTCTGGGATTTCTCGACGGCGATGCTGACCAGTGGAATTACATCGAACAATCTGAGGCCTCGTTGCCTCTGATGCAAGTAATTGCGATGCGTCCTTGGGTCGTCAACTTGTTGCAGTCACGATTGTTGAGGCGCCTTGCGATGCCCTCGGCGAAAGATCCGGTGGGTTTAGGCAAGATAATCGGGTAAGCTCTGTCTTTGAGCGAACACACGAAGGCATCGAGATCAAGCAACTGACATCGGACCGTAGCATCGCCCAGGCTTTCGTGGCAAAGCGGTTCGGCCCGGACAAAGTAGAAGCGCCTGACATGTTGGGATCCTTCATCAAGAACGGAGTAGATCAGCGCACCGCCGAGACGGAATCTGTCCTCCAAGTGTACGCCCCCTCCCCCCTAAGACTCCAACTCACTCACCATCGCCTAGAATCGCCGGCTCCGACACTACCGCCGGCACGATCCGAACCGCCATTGCCCATATCATCACTTCGCCCCTCGTTTACTCTGCACTTGTCGCCGAGATCACCTCCGCCATCTCCGCAGAGTCCATCTCCTCCCCCGTCATCACCGACACTGAGGCCCGCTCCTTGCCCTTTCTCCAGGCTACACTCAAGGAAGCTCTTCGGATATGGCCTCCCATCCACGGCATCATGCCCCGTGTGTCAAAATCTGACGCAACCATCTGTGGAGTCCACATTCCTGCGGGGACGAACGTGTGCTGGAGTTCATGCGCAGTCCTACGGAACAAGGAG